GAGGTGTTTTATCTCCGTTATGCGCGCCGTGAAGGTTCTCTGTACATTTTCTAGGTCCAGCAGCAATTTCACCTGCCTTGAAAGGTGCTGTTAGTGGGCAGCAATATTCCAGCCAGTATAGAACAAGTGACCTGAAGAGTGTCATCAATGGGCTTTGCCTCGCTAGTTTTGAAGGTTCTCATGATCCATCCTGTCCATTTTTCTAGCAGATGCGATTGATAGTGTTATGGTCCTTGAAGGTGAGAATTCCTCCGACATGATCACTCCCACGACGGTCTTAGAGGTTGGTGTTTCGCTCTATTTTTGTAGGCAAAGAATTTGTTTGTACTCTGATAAGATTTAATTTCCTCGTGTTTACCATCTCTGAGTATTTGAAAATTTTCTCATCGTTGAACTTCATATTGTTTTTCTGCAGACCCAACTGAAAGATTTGGTGAAGACCGCCTGACCTTTCAGTGTCTGCAATGGAAACACTGTCATGCAGATTCGGTGGTCATCCGTCAAAAGAAGACACGGTGCTGTGGCTGACATCCTTGTCTATGTCGATATGAAGGATGAGAACAAGATGGGAGCGAGTACTGTGCCGTGTGGAAGCAGAGCTTTTCGACACAGTAGCTGCCCTCGGAATTTACTCTGTTGAAGACTACTCTCTGTGTTTCTTTGTTAGTGAGGAAAATTATAGATCCATCGACCGACTTTTCCGTTATTCCCTTTAGCAACGCATTTTGTGCGCTAATTACGCCATGCACACATGTCGAAGGCTTTTGCAAAGTCTGTATATATTACATCTCATTCTTTTTGTCTTCTAGTGCATCTAGGACCTTGTCGTATGATCCAATAGTTTGAGACAGACAGGAGCGGACCTGTTTTCTAAACCCATGTTGCCCTGGGTTGTGTAACTGATGGGTTTCTAGATGTGTGGTTTTATTTTGGAAAAAAAATCTTCTTCTTAGGACCCTTCAATAAGATTTTTATGATATGGATGTTAGTGGCTATTGGTCTGTAAGTTTCTTTGCTGTGCTTTACTGTTTGTTTTAGTATTAAATTATGTAAACAAATCTAAAATATATTTAGTTGGGTTAGCTAAAATAAAATTGTTCCTTGTTATAATAATTTAGTAAGTTTTCTAAGATTCTTTTGAGAGCACATAAAAAATTTTTTACATTAACATTAATAAAAAAATATATCTTTAAAAACTATAAGAGAAAAATTTTAGAAAGGAGCTTAATTTTAAATGAGTTCTTGCTAATTGACCAGTTTTTACCATATTCGGCACGACATATATATATATATATATATATATATATAATATATATATATATATATATATATATAATATATATATAATATATATTTATGAATATAAGACTGGCCGCTATACATATAAATTATTATTATAACCCAATGAAAAGCAGGGTGTCACTAGCACGGTAAAGACCATACAAAAAGTGTCAGGGGCCCGAGACTTTCAACTGGCCTCCAGCAACACATAGGGGGATTACCAAACAGACCGCCTGGCAGTCTTCAAGCTGGCACTGGACAAGCACCTAAAGTCAGTTCCTGATCAGCCGGGCTGTGGGCTCGTACGTTGGTTTGCACTGTTTGCAGCCAGCAGCAACAGCCTGGTTGATCATGCTCTGATCCACCAGGAGTCCTGGTCACAGAGCGGGCCGCGGGGGCGTTGACCCCCGGAACATCCTCTCGCAGGTAAACCCAGTAAAAAGCGCTAAGCCACAAGGGCTATACAAGGCCGTTCAATATCGATAGGGATTTAAACCTGTGCTCGATGGACCTAGTGCCTTCATCTAAATTAATACAGCTTTTTTTTTTTACACTTATTAGTAAGGCTCTAAATGTCGTAGGGAGCAGTCCATACATACTGGGGTAGTTGGTCATACAATTCTCGTCCTTGCCTTGGAGCCATCAGGTTCAATCCTAGATGGGGGAGTCAGATCAAGTTCCTTGGATCAAGTCCCCCTTATTGGCTTAAGAAACTTTGCCCTGAGGGGGGGGGGAATAACATGCTCGAAAAAAAATCACAATTTCAATATACATAAAACATTTCATCTGAATGAAAGAGAAATAACGTCATATGAAAGACTGACATGAGCCTTGCAGTGGTCCATTGATGCCGGAGAGCTCTTGATGCGAGTACTGAACCTGTCCTTTCCATTACCTTGAAGGAACCTGATTGCTCCAGTTCCCGCGCCAGGGGTTGTATGATCCCCTACAGGTTTTAACGCTTCCCCGTAAATATAATATTTTTTCCCTAATAAACGATGGTTAATAATGCCTCGTTTACGTGTGTATCCAGATAGATCATGCCCATAACATACTATATTCATTAAGCGTTAAAAAACCCGTCAAGGGTCAAAGCATCATTACAATCAAAAATAAATAACAAAAAGGCACAAACCGTGACTGGAACAGATTCACACAAATAACCCGCACATAAAAAAAGAGAGAACTTACGACGACGTTTCGGTCCGACTTGGACCATTGACAAGTCACACTAACAGAGGTGGACAAGGACGGCTATATATAGCCGTCCTGCTCCACCTCTGTTAGTGTGGCTGTCAATGGTCCAAGTCGGACCGAAACGTCGTCGTAAGCTTCTCTCTTTTATGTGCGGGTTATTTGTGTATTACAATCAAAACTAAGCACTAAACCCACAAGGGGCACACAACGCCTGGATAAATTACATAATAGGCAGCCGAGTGCAGTGTCAAGTGGCTTAACCATCACAGTTCAACTTCGCTCTTTAAAGTTGGCGAAGGGCTCTTGATCCAAAGGAATGGAGCTATGATTCGGTGGATTAAACCTGATTACCTCGCATTTCCCGGGCGCTGTGACCCTACGGGTTTAGCGCTTGTCCGTGATTATAATGCTAACCATAACAACAATTTGAGTCACCCACGTGAGTCCAGCCCGGGGATTATTATTATTATTATAATCAAAAAGAAGCGCTAAGCCACAAGGACTATACAGCGCACCCAGCCCGGGGAGTGTGTGGACACTGTGTCAACACAACCAGGTTAGATAACCATGATTTACCCTCGCAAGTTATTCGAATCTCGAGTTATATCGATTTAATAAAAGTTATCAACAAAATCACAACAACGGATACTAGTTTCTTTTTTATGTTGGTTACTTGAATTTCCTTCTCCGTGTGTTCTGTTTGTTATTTATGAACGCTTGTATGCAAGCCCTTGTTATGAGGTTGTTCTCAATTTCCAGTATTGTTCATGAAGAAAATAAACTTTGATGCAAGTTTAGTGATATATGTCACCTAATTTTGTAATAACTGTATACTTTTCGAAATAAACATTTTAATTTAATTATTGAAATGTTTGTGTGTGATGAATGTGTAATGAAGCAACGTAGTTTGGGTATTTCTTGGAGACAACCTTCAATCTGCCGACGCTATGACCGCTATAAATATACAGTAATAAAATGCTTAGTAATAAAAAAAAATATGGACACAGAAACATGGAAAATAATATTGGTCTTTAAACTTTGACCTTACAGTGAAGTTTTCTCCAGCATATCTCCTGAAAGAGACTCCAGTTTGGGGTCGAAGTATACAGACCAACATTATATCCCATGTTTCTGTCTCCATGTGAGTTCTTATTATCGACAAGTGGTCATTATACTTTTATTGGGTATTCCTGGTTACCTGGAGGTTATTCCGGGGATCAACGCCCCCGCGGCCCGGTCCATGACCAGGCCTCCCGATGGATCAGGGCCTGATCAACTAGGCTGTTACTGCTGCCCGCACGCAGTCCAACGTACGAGCCACAGCCCGGCTGATCCGGCACTGACTTTAGGTATCTGTCCAGCTCTCTCTTGAAGGCAGCCAGGGGTTTATTGGCAATTCCCCTAATGCTTGGTGGGAGGCTGTTGAACAGTTTTTGGGCCCCGGACACTTATGGTGTTTTCCCTTAGTGTACCAATGGCGCCCCTACTTTTTATTGGGGGCATTTTGCATCGCCTGCCCAGTCTTTTACTTTCGTAGGGAGTGATTTCTGTGTGCAGATTTGGGACCATTCCTTCCAAGATTTAGTAATAATGTTTTAATTCGCTTCTCGGTGTCCCCATAGCTAGGAATAAACATGGAGTCTAGTTGGTCACTTACTAGCCAGACTCCATCTGTGTTTTAATATGACAGACCAAATAATCTTTGTTCATTATGTACAGAGTACCCTAGTCGCTGTTAGTGAAGCGTAGCACATTTACAGACATTTGAAGAATCTTAGGGTTATTGATTCTAGGAACTGGATTTTACCTTCCCTTCTTTGGCTCTAACCTCATTGCCTCCCATTCCAAAGGCGCTGTGTAGCCCTATGGGTTTAGCGTTTCCCAGTGATTAAAATAAAAAATGTGCAATTATTCTCAATCCTATACGGAAAGCTGTACAAAAAAAGATGTAGAAGTATTCATTAATACAAACTCTGATGCCTAGCCCCCCAACCTGGAAACCAGTTTATTTCTCATCACGGTCTCATTTAGCAATTTATTCCGTGTTACGTTGACGAAAACGAATATTTGAGCGATTACCTAGTGAAGTAATTGTCAAGATTATGTAAATATAATCCTGCCACACGTTCTCGGTCTTATTCTGGTTTTCGTTTGTATCTCCACAATATCCTTTAGTTAAATATAAATTATTATCATGAGGAAGGAAGGGCTGCACATAGCAGTGATGAAGGCTGACTGGCTTTGTTTTTTTAATATTAGGCAAATTTTAATTTCTGGTTCAGCGTCAGTGGGTTGTCGTCTGGAAATTTCAAGAAGGAACAACAGATCCCAAGTCCCTGTTCAGCCCGCCTGGAGTGTTATAATAACTCGTCTTCAGCGAGGACATCCAAAATATTAAAATATAATATAGGGAAAGTAAGCTTAATTAAAACAGAGTTCATCAATAGAAGTTTACGGGGTGAATTATGCTCTTGTATTTGTCATTGTATTGGTTTTACAGTCTGTCTATATTTTTTTTCCAGAATGATGCTCAGCTGTGCTCGCACTGATTATCACCGCTGAAGGGCCGCTACCAGGATAAATCTTCATCGAATCAGTTCCATTACTTCTCAAGATTTAAAGGTGTTGCGCAAGAAAACTGTATTAAGTGACATTTGCGTACTCTGAGGGGGTCGAGTTCTAGCTCCAGGTCCTGCATTTTAATTTTCAATCGAGGGGTACTGCTCAGTGGCACTGTTCGTTACTTAACCTCTTGGGCTATATCATATCTAATTTTGAATGCATGACTGAAGTCCACCTACGGTGCCTCTTCAAAATCCATGACACACTCACAATGCGACGGTGTACAACACATAGATGAGAAAATAAAAAAAAAGTATTCTGCGATCAATGTCACCATTTTAAAAATAGCAAATATAAATAACATTTTGAAATAAAAGTTTAAAAAATGTTGCTATAATTTAAAAAATTTGTTCTCTTGTAGATTTGAAAATAACGCAAATATTTATATAAAACAATGTAGAAAAGTCTCATATTCTGGAGTATAGAACGAGGGAAGAGACGATGGTGACATTAAGGTGATCAAATAAATACGGGTTTGATATTCTGGGAGGACCTGGACCAGGTTGGAGCATGGCGTCTCCAGCGCCGCCTTCAGATATTCTTGGCCACTTTTAAGACTTTTAAGGGCTGCCTGACCCCAGTAGAGGCTAGGATCATGAAGCATACACCCAGGACGCGGCTGCTGGCTCTCCTCTCCCTGTGTGTGGTAGCTAGAGCAGGTACGCTAAATGTGCGGGTGGGTTGGTGTTACATACATAGGTTGCGTGTGGCGTGGGTAGGCTGGGTATGACGTGGATGGTTTGGGTGTAGCGTGGGTGTGGTGTGGGCGAGTGTTGTGTAGTTAGGTTTTGGCATGAGTGGGCTGGGTGAGGTGTTGCGTGGGTTGGGTGAGGTGTTCCGTGGGTTGGGTGTGGTGCTGCGTGAGTTGGGTTTGATATGGGCGGGTTGAGTGAGGAGTGCGTGGGTTTGGTGTGGCGTGGGTAGATTGGATGAGTAATAGCTAATTTTTTTACTAGTAATGGTAAAATGTTTGCGTACATGTCGAATGGAGAATACTGTGAAATTCGTATGTGACAGTGTGACACACTTTGAAGATAAAAGTAACCTCTGTGTTTGTGTTGCAGGCAGCAAGCCGGTATATACCCCGACCTCAAGCTGGGCTAGTGGGCAGCAGGGGAAGACCTCGGAAGAAGGGGAGCAACAATACCCTCAGGAAGGGCTTCCTACCCTCTCCCGCCCACTCCACTTTCCCTCTCGCCCTGATGACCGCTATAACTTGGCCTCTCAGCGCCGCCAGTACTCCTACAATGGGTTCCCGCACCGCACCGTGGAGACCAAAACCTCGCCTCAGTTGGATTATGAATTAGATCAGTCTTACCAGAATGAGGTTAATATCTATGAATACTCTTACAGGGAGAGCAGTACCTACGTGAACCCCAGTAAAAAATACAGTCATGGGGGAGGGCGAAGAGTGGGGTCCGGAGGGGTAGGAGTCCCACGGCAGCTAGGGGAGCGTGTATGGTGGGCGGGTGTGCCCCTTCCGGTACTCACTGCCCGTGGGGACTCATATCTCCCCAGAGTCATCACGCCCGAGGCTCAGCAGGGCCGCCCACCCGCCGCACAGCCTCATCGTG